GTTTCAGCGCATCAGAAATTTTCATATTCCATGGTGCTACTCGGCCAATATCTCATGTAGCAGCAACATAGAACTGCACATCTTTGTCGACGCTAGCCAAGTAGCATTTGCAGCAGTTGGTTACTTACGCGTGGTGCACAACGGCGTAGTGGACGTGACTTTCGTAATGGCCAAAACTCGCACCGCCCCTAATCGCTTAATGTCTATTCCTAGACTTGAGTTGCAAGCAGCAGTACTGGGCACCAGATTAAGTAAGATGTTTGTTAGCTACCACGACTTCAATATCAGCCGCATTCTGTTTTGGAGCTACTCGCAGACTGTATTTCAATTGATTTATTCCTCCGAGAGAAAATACAAGGCCTTCGAGGTCATCGCGTTGCTGAAATCATAAGCGTAACTGTTCCTGAGCAGTGGCGTTGGGTTCCCACTAATAGCAACCCAGCAGACGCAGCTACACGACCGTCAAATCCAACTAGGTTCAATACAGATAACCTCTGCATCAACGGCCCTGAATTCCTTAAGTAGAACGAGCCACTATTGTCGAGCGTCCCGCAGTAATGCTTGAAGAAGTTCAACCTAACCGTCTCCTTTATTGTCAGGCAAGTAAACATTTAATTGATTTTACTACATTTCGTTCATACTTGAAGACAAAACGGATAGTCGCATGGGTGTTACGAGCCAAATTGTTGTTTAATAAAAAGTCAGTCAATATGCGTCTGTCGAATGTACTTACCGCTGCGGAAATTGAAGAAGCAGAAATAATGATCTGTAAAACGGTGCAACAAGAGTGTTTCGCAAGCGAGATTTCGTCGCGTCAGCTTTCAAGACAGAGTGCAGTGTACAGTCTCACACCCTATCTCGACGAAAAGGGTCTTTTGCAATGGTCGCATCGATATGGCAACGTATTTACCTTTCGAGACGCGTCATCCTATTTTATTGCCGGCGAAGCAAATCGTCGCAGAACTATTCGTCAAGCACCATCACGGGAAAGGTCAAACTGTCTTGAATGCAGATTGAGCAAATGGGCAGCTGCCAGCTGACCGCGTTACACCCTATGCACGACCATTTTCTTACACAGGCGTAGACCTCTTTGAGCCTTTTAATGTCGCAATCGGGCGGTGACGAGAGAAGAGGTGGGGTGTTATCTTCACTTGTTTAACTGTAAGAGCAGCGCATATCGAACTAGCCGAGGATCTGTCTACAGACGCATTTATTTTATGCCTAGGAAATTTCATAAGTCGACGGGGGACCCAAGTAAGGATTAGAAGCGACAATGGGACTAATTTCATCGGCGCCCAAAAGGAGTTAAAAAACGCCGAGCAACTATTTGATACAGACCGCATTCAAGAAGAAGCCGCGAACTATAATCAGCCTCATTGCGTATGTCGTAAATTAGGCTAAATTGTACGACTCGTCAACAGTAGCATTGTCTATTGTCGTAATGAAATAAGTAACGACTAAAATCGTCGAAAACTATACAGTGCTGCCAAGTTTTTCCGTTTTAATACACTAGTCGAGTGGAAATTTTAGGCAATGGCGTGGAATTTTCGATACGATTCGACTCTCGAAAAAGACTTGCATTCGACACGACTCTCGCAATGAGGGTGAATATTGAATGGCTATTCAACTGCCCCGCCCATCCCAGTGCAGGCGGTTGCTGGGAGCGTCTTATACGAATTGTTAAATCTCTACTGAACCGAACTCTACGTGAAACAACGCCTAAAGTAGCAACCTTGCAAAGCGTGTTGAGATGACCTTGGCTTGACTTCTAGAAGATCTTGAGGAATCAAGGGCCCTCTATATTCAGATTCAGCACTGAGAAAAACAAACAGATTTTACTTTTATTTTTATTGAATAAATTTCTTGTTCAATTTGACCCTCAAACGACGTCGGATCTGACATAATGGAAGTTAACGGACCTCGGATTCGGGTTCAGCGAGTCTAAAACCCCATATTATTCAATGACCACGAACCTGACGTAATGGGAGCTGACAGACCTCGGACCTCAGCGCATCGAATAACATAGGGATAAAGACGTTTGGTTTAATATGCAGACACTCTTGTTTTTGGAGACCTGTGTAATTAGTATTGAGTTTCATTTTTTGGCTCAACGGAAATAATTATTAGTTGATTTTTTTTGGATCACAAATGACGGTTATTTTATGATTTTTATTTTTTCGCCCAGAGATAATATTTATTATTGGGTTTTATTTTTCCACCTAAAAATAATGATTATGCACAAAATTTAAAAGGCCATAAAGACGCAACCAACTAAAATTTTGACCTGAAAATTTCGGAACTTATCTACATCTATATATAATACGCGAAGGGATTTTTGTCCAGGTCATCAGATCTGTACCGTTGTTCTGGTTTGTACAAATTAGGTGACAAATGAAAGGACTGGGGCTCTAGATGTGCAATAAGGTTCTACCTTTTCGGAAAGAGTCGCCACCTGTTGAACAATTAAACTCTAATTATTTACTAATCAGTGCCATTAGAACCCGCACCGTTTGTTCGATTCTCAAAAATTACGTGTCAAATTAAAGGGCTTGGAATGTAGAGTTGCAATAAGGTTTCACTTTTTCGGAAAGAGTTGCACCCTGTTAAGGATTTAAGCTCAAATTATTAAAAGAGTTAAATCAATTGTTACAATATGGGCATCAACCGAATTGGGTTGCCACAAGTTATATGAAATATTAAAATTGGTTGTCGAATTATAGTTTTAAGAAATATTTAGTTTGACAATTTATAATATTTTTGATGTGTCTGAGGGTTGCCATCAGTTGAAACGGTTAAATTTAAATTATTGAATAACTTAAATGAATTATAAAGAGATTGTTGTCGATCGTAATGGGGTTAAAACCCTTTATTTCTGAGCTATATTTACTGGGGTTGGCACGTGTTTAAAAAATCAAATTGAACTTAGTTCATCAGTTACTTGAAATATTTATGACAACAATTTCATACGAAAGATATTTAAGAAGATTTTAGTTCGAAACTGGTTTTGAATTGAGTTTAATTTAACACAATCTTATGCAATTTTAATATCTGGGTATCAAATCAACGAGTGTTTAGAAATTTGAATTTTGAACGTTTAGAATTTTTTTTGGGTTGCCACCTGTTGAAAAAATTAAATTAAATTATTTAGTAAGTTAACTGCATTGTCCAAATATGGGTATCATTCGAAACGAGTTTCAAAATAATTTATTTCTGATCTGTATTTAAAAGAAATATCTACCACGTCTCTAAAACGTCTCACGATCTAAAATTTTTTTTTGTTGGAAAATGCTTTTAAATAGGCCCACCTGTCTAAAAAGTCGAAGTTTTACTTATACAAGTTAAATGAAATATCGAAATATTAGTGAAAAACGAAAGAGTTTAAGGAAACCTTTAGTTTGGAATACTTTTAATTGCGGTTGCTACCAATTTTTTTTAAGGTCATTATATCTTCATCGTTATTTCGAAATTCCATACTAAGAACTCAAGTTAAATAACTGGGATTGTACATAGATGTGCAATAAGGATTTTGTTTTTTGAAGTTAGGACTTTTTAACGGTATAGAGTGATTGAAAATTTTATGGAAAGAAAAATCGACAACATGCGACACCTCTCTTTACTCAGAAATGTCTTAACATGAATCACTAGGAATATTTTTTGGGGTTTCGAAAAGGTTTTTAAAAAATTAAATTCAATTCAGGCGTTTAAACGCCATGCGGGTTCACTAGTTCCGTTTGTTAGGGTGTCGCTACCTCTAAAAAGGGTGCGTCGGAAATCATACTGGTATACATAGCTCTTGAGTTTTTTGAGTGAAAAAATAAAACTCACTAATAATTATTATCTTTGAACGAAAAAAATATATAAAATAATCATTATTTTTTATCAAAAAATAAATAAAAATAAGATAATAATAATTTCATTTGAGCGAAATATAAAACTCAATTATTAGTTATTATATTTAATCGTTATTGGTTAAAATCGAAAAAAATCATTGTAAATTACAATAGAACATATCGAGCCCTAACCGCCAAAATAACGTAAGCGACATTTTTTTTCAAAATTTTCTTTTTGAAGCAGAAATATTCCTAGAGCATCTAGATACATTTCTGCATCAAAAAGAAAATTTTGAAAAAAATTTCGCTTACGTTATTTTGGCGGTTAGGGCTCGATATGAACACAAATACGTGATAGGTTAAATTGTATTACAAGGATCACAACTTCTTGATTTTTTTGGTTAAAATTTAAAAGATAATGATTATTTTACATTCCTGTATAAGAAACTTATTTGTAAGAAACATGAAAAATTATCAGAATTGTTTCATTCTTTTATTAAAAGGACGCGCATAATTTTATAAAGGTAGACAATTCAACATTTTTTTTTTTGCTTCATGAGAAAAACGTCACCATGGGTAAAGTGGAGTAGTGTAGTAAGTTTCAAATCGTAGTGGATCTAGTAAACTTCTAACCCTGCTCAGGACTAAGTTTTTTGATTCGCTGAGCAAAGTGGAAATGAGTAAAGTTTCAAACAATGCAAACTCTCATTGAATGGCGACACAAAATAATGATTTTCTTTGCAAATTTTAGCGCTGCGAATTTTGTATCTGAGAATGGACGGTTTTTATTTTTTTAGTTTAAGTACCATAACTGTGTGTCTAGCATTTTGAAATCAGCACTTTGCATATATAAAGAATTTTATCGAAAATTTGCTATGTTTATAAGGATTTTTAGAGCAAACATAAAATACGTGCGCACAATAAAAGTATGAGAGTTGTACTTCTAATTATCTGTGATTATCACTGTTCACCCAACAATTTTGTTTCAAACTAAGTCTTAACAAGCCACATTTTTATTTAAAACATTTCTACACTTCTCAATTTGTTAGCACGTATGATTATTTTAAAACCTTATTATGCAATCCTTTATATTCTAATATTTGTAATTTTGTGTTAATTGATTAGATATTTCCTCAGCCACTACGTGCCACTTTTCTATCCATTACTCACCCTTTGCCATCGGGTGTCTTTTCGTGAATAATCCTTTGAGCGCACAATTGTGGATTAGGGGGATCCAACACGCGTCCATTCGAAAATTGTGCAGAGCTTAGACTCACAATGCTAATTAAGCAAATTCCGGCAAATACGAACACTTTCATTTTACCACAGTATTATTTTTTTTTGTCTAAGTAATTTCTATTTACACAACACTTTCGTTTTCGTTTCAGTCAGTCGCGAGCACCACCACAACCGTATTTTTCTAAGTGACATGAAATTTTTTATGCTACCTTGCTTTATATACGACCTGCGGCAGTAAGTCGAATGGTGGTACTGAGTGGATAACTTAGTGAGTGCGTTACTCTGTCACTTGGCCTCCAACAAGTCTTGGCTCGCTCAAATGTTAATTGAGTTTTGAGATTGTTTTGACTGCAGTCGCATGCTTTGCTATGGCCATATTTATTGCTGGTTTGAGAAATTACAACGTGAGGCGACTACCTGACACGTTCATAACATTGAGTGGATTTGCTGGACAGTGTTGGTTGTTTGCGATTATCGGCGGCTCAAAAATATTAATGAGAACACCAAAAATGTGAAAAAGGAAAAACCTAAGTAAACGAAGAAGGAAAGAACGGCTAAGTTTATTTAAGTACGTGATTATCGCTTCTTATTTGTTAAGTTTTTTTTTTAATGCTGAAAAATAGCTACTTGTGTTCATCATCCGGCTCCACACTTGTAAACATTTAGACTTACGTGCGTATATATGTATGTATGTATGTATGTAGATGTCAATATGTGTTGGCTTCCCGTTCAATGTGAGAGTAGAATACCAATTTATTTTAACAAAATTCTTTATGTTAAATGCGTGAGGCAAAATTTACTTTATTCAATAACTCAAAATAAATACATTATAGTTCTTGATACTTCGTTCTATGCCGGTTTAGCACTAGCCGATTTGTTGAACTGCAACAAAATCTCTTTTATATTTCTAATTGCTGTGTTGTTGCATGCAGCAATATATTTTTATATATGTATATGGGTCATTCCATACAATATTTACACCTCAATATTTTTTTTGGGATGCAGTATATTTTTTACATTTTTTATCGAAAAAAATAAGACACCTATTTTTTTATTTCGTCATGATATTCGAAAATCTCGAAAAATTGTTTGCAGTTAATAAACTATTTGTCGGAGAAAATCAGTTAAGGTATCAAAATGTGCGCAATTATCTCGGCTTTCCATGAGAGTGTGAGACAGGTTAAAATAAATTTTGCAATAACAATTGGATTTTTTAATTCTTTATTTTTTTCATTAACTTCATCATGTTTGATTTTTATTTTTTTCAACCTGAATAGTTGTCAGACTTAATCGGGTAAGCTGTAAAAATTTGCGAATGGAAATACCAAAACTGTAGAAGTTACGAGTTTTTTCATACCAGGTTGAAGTTAATGAAAAAAATAAAAAATAAGAAAGTGCCAATTTTTATTGCAAATCAGTTAAGGTATCAAAATGTGCGCAATTACCTCGGCTTTCCATGAGAGTATGAGACAGATCAAAATAAATTTTGCAATAGAAACTGTAATTTTTTTATTTTTTTCATTAACTTCATCATTTTTGATTTTTAATTTTTTCAACCTGAATAGTTGTCACACTTTATCGGGTAAGCTGTAAAAATTTGAGAATGGAGACACCAAAACTTTAGTATGTATAAACTTTACGTACGCAGGTATGAAAAACTCGTAACTTCCACACTTTTGGTGTTTCAATTCTCAAATTTTTACAGCATACTCCAAAAATTTTGACAACTATTCAGGTTGAAAAAATAAAGATCAAACATGATGAAGTTAATAAAAAAATAAAAAATGCGATTTTTTAATGCAAACATTTTTTAATTTTAATCTATCTTACATTCTTATGGAAAGCCGCGCTAATTACGCATATTTACCTTACCTCTACTGATTTTCTCCGACAAATAGTTTATTAATTGCAAACAATTGAAAAAAGATACTTCCCCGTGAGTTAAAAATTTCGGGAGTTTTTTCGAGATTTTCGAATATCATGACGAAATAAAATAATAGGTGTCTTCTTTTTTTCGATAAAGAATGCAAAAAAATATATTTCACCTCCAAAAAAATATTAAGGTGTAAATATTGTATGGGATGACCCATATACATATCTACATACCGTATCTTTAGTATAAATTTGAAGTTGTAATATTGTTTAGCTAAAGCACTTTATTTGGTATTCCTACAAGTGATGAAGCTTGTTGCGAACACCGGAATAAGATTGTTGTAATGATAATAAGGAGGGGCATAAATGACAATATTTTCTTAAATGTGTGGCGTTCAACTTACATATCGTCGTTTAAAGTGCAAAACCGCGTATCAACAAAATGCAAAACCGCTTATCAGCAAAATGCAAAACCGCGTGTGTGAAGTTGTAGAAATTATTTTCTAGAGCGTAAAAACACTCATATTTCAAAATGGTTCTCTTTTTTATAAAGCAATCGCATTTCTGGCTAGTATATTTCAGGACGAATGGATAAGGATTGAGCCAAGAGCTTGTGTGAGCAAATCCAATTTTTGGCAGCCAATGTCAGTTACGCGGTCTTGCAGAATGACGATACGCGGTTTTGTACTTTAAACGACGATATGTATGTACATGCATACATATCTTCCAGTGTTTTTGGTGCCACCTGAGTGTTGAATACCTAATTGGCCCTATGTCGCGTTGTCACTGAGGAAATTTTCTCAGACAAGTTTGCCTCAATTTATTGAGATCCCCTGCTTGGCTTTGAGCATCTTGGTGGCAAATATTTACTTGCGTTACGGTATGTACATTGTACATATTTATGAATGCATGTAGATACGAAGTTTGTGATTCCATGACAACTTTTGCCTTTGAGCGCTTAAGTTACGCAATTTTGTCGATGCTTCACTTTGGTTTCGAACACTTTAGACCAGAGCTTCTTAAACTGTGTTCCGCGTAGAAAAGTCACGGGGGTTCCGCGAGATCAATAAGCACGGGGGTCGGTTTGAGTTGCACACAGAAAGAAAAGTTCTATAAACAGCTTGACCGAGACGCAATTATTTATTTTTAAGTATGCATACAGATGTGCTTGTAGGTGGTATGATTGCCGTACTGAGTGCCATACCTACATAAGAGCTTGCGTTTGCTACCTTGTTTTTTTCTAACCGGTATGTGTTGTTGGCCGCTGTAGCCAAAGAATTATATAAAACTTTCTACAAGGAACGCGATGAATTGCCAAATGAAATGTGAAATGTCATAACTAGGAAATTGGTAAATCACCTAGAATCTCAAATTGTTTTTCGGATGGTAGTAGTAATATCGGTTTGGACATTCAGACCTTATATCGAACTACTATTTTATACAATAGTTAACAGTGAAACAATTTCATTATTCACATTAAAATATAAAGTATGTATACTATTTCTATTTAGTAAAAGTTTTTATTCATATTTAAATTGCACTGCCTTCGATTTTTATTAATTTGATATGGGGTTCCTTGAAGTGAAAGGTGATTTGTAAGGGTTCCATCATCTTAAAAGTTTAAGAACCCCTGCTTTAGACAACAATTGAACAAGCCAAGAAAAAATTATATGTAAATAAGTGCGTCTCTGGGTCTGCATAAAAGTGCGTGATTATACACTCATACACACAGTTATTGCAAGTAAAATTGGTTCACTCCAAAAGGCTTTCATGTTAAATAAATTTTGTTATTTTTTTTTTATAAACATTCGGCTCATAAAGTTTCTACAAACTACCGTTATTAATTGAGCTTTTTTTAACGGTCTCGCGCATTTTCTTCCATACAATGTGTGATTGAATTAATTTTTGTCAGAAATCAACGGTAATTTGTAGATATTTCAAACTTGCATCTTATTCTACTGAAATTCAGTGGGCTGCAAAATAGCATACCCGAACATTCCAAAAGATCCTGATAAAAGAGTTGAAAATTTTCATGAAAATTATTGGATAGTTTATCATTTTCCTAGTTTCTTTAAAAAATTTTGGATTTTGGTTTTTATGCTTATTGTTGTGCTATGAACCAAATTTAAAAAAATACCTAACATTTTTTAACATGAATGACTCCGGCGACATTAACACTTTTTTATTTGTAGAGTGGGCCATTTTGACTGGCTGCAACTATGTATATTAAGGGCGCCCTTATTTTTACAAATCCAAATTTCCACGGGCGCCGCACAGTGTGCTTCTTCAGCACTCCATGCGATTAATCGTAGCGCTTTCGACAGAGGCAACATTTTGATATGAAACAAAGGGTTGAAAGCTTATGTTATTCCCTTTCAGGGAAAAATACTACCATTGACCCATAATTACTTCTTGACCTTAAAAAAATTTGTCAAAAATAGTGTTCTTCGAAAAAAACATGCAAAATTCACCGGATTTGTTCCAACAATTTTTTTTGTCTGTTTTATTATTTTTATATTAAGGATTTTGTGACGAGAAACACGATTCCAATTTAAAAAATGCATTTTTGGGTGCATTTTGTTTTTATTTGCATGTAGCTGTGCATCCTTCTCACAATTTTTTATCACACGAAGAACAAGCACGCTATAGTACTATTAAAGATCTTTAATTTGAGCCATGGTGGAAATCTTTAGACCCTCTGAGAGCCAGGTTATAACAATTTTAAACCAAACATCGAATCTGCTGTACGAGATTTTACTCGGAAATTAGAAGTAAAAATGCATAAATGTCGAATGAAATTTCGAAGTTTATCTTCAAAATCGTTATAATATGGCTCTCAAAAGGCCTAGAGACCTTGGCTCGAATTATAGGTCTTGAATAGCACTAAAACGCACTTCGAGTGATATAAAATTGTGTGACGGATGCACAGCTGCGTGCAAATAAAAAAGTGCATTACATAATGCATTTTTCTAAATGAAGTGTTAGATTATTCGTCGTTTTTTTAACAGTGGAATCGTGTTTCTCGTCTCAAAATCTATAATCTTATATATAACAAGTAATTTTTAAGCAAAAAACAAAACCGACTTTAATTCTCATATAATCCAGTTATTGGGTCTAAGAAAATTAGTATGGGATCACCCTTGAGGTACCACCTTTCCGATGAAAGAAGAATTATCGAAATCGGTAGCATACATAAAAAAAATATATATGTATGCCAGACCTATTACAGATTCCGAGTGAATTCCCGTCGTGAAAAAATCTCCTGTCACGAATTCGGGAGAAATGTTATCAGAAATTCCGATGCATTCATAGTTAGTGCTGCTTTT